TTTATGACAGTACTGTGCTGTTTTGGTTACTATATTTTTATAATATATTTTTTAGTCAGAGAGTGTGATGCCTCCAACTTTATTCTTTTTGTGCAAGATTGCTTTAGCTATAAAGGGTCTTTTGTGGTTCCATACAAATTTTAAGATTTTTTTTATATTTCTGTGAAGAATGTCATTGGTATTCTGATAGAAATTGTGTTGAATGTGTAGATTGCTTTGGGTAATATGGACATTTTGATGATGTTAATTATTCCAACACAAGAATGTGGGATATCTTTCCATTTGTGTCCTCCTTGGTTTTTTTCACCAGTGTCTTATAGTTTTCACTGTAGAGGTCTTTCACCTCTTTCATTAAATTTACTCCTAAGTATTTCACTTTTTTTTGGTAGCTATTGTTAGTGAGATTACTTTCTTGATTTCTTCTTCAGCTATTTCATTACTGGCATATAGGAAGGTTACTGATTTTTGTGTGTTGATTTTGTTTCCTGCTGTTATACTGAATTCATTCACTAGTTCTAGTAATTTTTTTGGTGGAGTGTCATCTGCAGATAAGGATAGTTTGATGCTCACTTTTCTGATCTGGATGCCCTTTATTGCTCTCTCTTGCCTTATTGAACCAGCTAGAACTTCTAGTACTATGTTGAGTAAGTGTGGGAAATATGGGTAACCTTATCTTATTCCAGATCTTAGAGAAAAATCCTCCAAATTTTGTCCATTCAGTATAATTTTAGGCTGTGGGTTTGTCATATATGGCCTTTATTGTGTTGAGGTACATTCCTTCTATACCTAGTTTGTTGAGTGTTTTTTATCATGAACTGGGGTTGGATTTTATCAATGCTTTTTCTGAATCTATTAAAATGATCATATGTTTTTTTTCCCCTTCATTCATTGATATGATATATTATATTCATTGATTTGCATATGTTGAACCATCCTTGCATCCCTGGGGTGAATCCCACTTGATTATGGTGAATTGTCTTTTTAACGTGTTGTTGGATTCTGTTTGTTAGTTTTTTGTTGAGGATCTTCACATTTGTGTTCATTAGGGATATTCATCTATAGTTTTCTTTCTGTGTTGTATCTTTTTATGGTTTTCATATGAGGTTAACGTTGGCCTTGTAGAATGAATTTGGAAGTATTCCCTCCTCTTCAATTAGTTGGAAGAGTTTAAGAAGAATTGGTATAAATTCTTTAAATGTTTGGTAGAATTCAGCAATAAAGCCAGTTGGTCCTTGTGTTTTCTTTGTTGGGAGACTTTTTATTACTCCTTCAATCCCATTACTCATTATTGGTCTAGTTAGGTTTCCTAGTTCTTCATGATTCAAACTTGGTAACTTGTATATGTCCAGGAATTTGTCTATTTCTTCTATGTGTTCCAATTTGTTTGCATATAGTTGCCATAGTAGTCTCTTATCCTTTGAATTTCTGTGGTACCAGTTGTGGCATCTTTTTCATTTCTGATATTATTTATTTGAGTCATCTCTTTTTTTTCATCATTAGTATAGCTAAAGGCTATCTATATTATCTTTTCAAAAAAGTTTTTTGTTTCATAGATCTTTTGTGTTCTTTTTTAAGTCTAATTCACTTATTTCTGCTCCAATATTTGTTATTTTTCTCTTACTGATTGCGAGTTTGGTTTGTTCTTGTTTTTCTAGTTTTTTGAGATGTAATGTAAAGTTAGAATGTTTATTTGACATCTTTCTTATTTTTTTATATAGGCATTTATTGATGTAAACATCCCTCAGAACTGCTTTTGCTGTATCTGATAGGTTCTGGTATATTGTGTTTTCATTTTCGTTTGTATCCAGGAATGTTTTAATTTCTTTTTTGATTTCTTCTTTGACCCATTTGTTGCTTAGGGGGATGTTGTTTAATTTCCTTGTATTTGTATGGAAGTGTCCCTTTTGTTGTTGATTTCTAGTTTTACTCCATTATGGTTATACCAGGTAGTTAATAAGATTTCAATTTTTAAAAATTTGTTGAAGGAAGATGGTGCACTAGAGGTGCCCAGAGTGCAGTTCTCCTGCAGAAGAGTTCCAGAATACAGAGTGGACAGCAGAAATCACAGGAGGAGAAATTCTCCCTTGAGACATGAAGAATCTGCTCATCTAGAGCATTTCTTAGTGGTAACCCCCGATTACTTCTGCCCAAGCTCACCCGTACCACAGCGGAGATTGCCAGTGCCGTTATCTGGCCCCAGAGCAGGGATCCATCTTCCTCTACTGGAGTTTTTCGTGCTCCCTACAGTAGCCATCTGTGCTCATTGGTGTGTGGCTCATGCCATCTAGAAGCCACAGCCCCAACCACTGGAATTGTGGGCCAGGCAAATCCAGCCCTGGCCACTGCACAGCCCCTAGCCCCCAACACCAGTGTGCCACCATGGTTTCTAGAGACCCCACCCTTTGAGATTTCCTTAGTGGGAGGCTGGAGGTGGGGGGTAGCAAACCCTGCAGTCCTCCCTTTCCAGCTTTCACTACTTGGGAATCAGAGCAGCGTGGCATCAGCTGTGAGTGCCCTGCTCCTCATGGGTCCCATGGAGAAGGGCTGCAGCAGCTTTGCAGCAGACCTAAAAGCCCCTTGATCATGCCTCCCATGGGGAATAACTTGAGCTCCTTCATGCTGGCATGGTGAGCTCTGCTCTCCTCACTTCTGCTGGGAGTAACTTGAGCTCCTGAAGCATGTTTTGTTATCTAATATATTGTCTATTCTAAAGAATGTTTTATGTGCTGTTGAGAAGAATGTGGATGCTGCAGCTGTTGGATGAAATGTTCTATATATGTCCATTAGGTTCAATTGGCCCAGAGTAGAGATTAATTCTAATGTTTCCTGGTTAATTTTCTTTCTAGATGTTCAGTCCTTTGCTGAAAGTGGGGTGTTAAAGTCCCCAACTATTATTGTGTTATAGTCTATGTCTCCCATTAGGTCTAATAGTAATTGCTTTATATAGCATAATACATGTGTATTATATGTATTTAGAATTGTTATATTCTCTTGTTGAGTCAATCCCTTTATTATTATCTAATGACCTTCTTTATCTTTTTTTTTACTTTCATTGGCTTGAAGTCTATTTCATCTGACATAATTGTAGCTCCTCCTAGTCTTTTTTGTTTACATTTGCATGAAATATCTTCTATCCCTTCACTTTCAGTTGGCGTATGTCTTTTAGGTGAGATGAGTTTCTTGTAGGCAGCATATTGTTGTCTCTTGTTCTACAACACATTGAGCCACCATGTCTCTTAATTGGGGCATTTAATCCATTTACATTTACAGTTATTAGTGATATGTAGGGTCTTGTTAGTGCCATTTTCTTACTTTTTTCTAGGTTTTTTTTTTTTTTTTTTTACCTCTTTCTTCTTTTTCTGATCTTATTATATTCCTTTGTGACTGAATGGTTTTCTCTAGCAGCATATTTTGAGTTCTCATTATTTGTTTTGAGTATGTCTTTTGTAAGTTTTTGTGTTATGGTTACCATGAGGCTTACAAAACACATGTTATAATTATAACAGATTAGTAAATGTGAATTTCTGAGTGTTAATATTTCAACTTTACACTTTTCCTCAAATTGGTTGTAAAATTAAGTGAATATAAATAAAAGACACTCCTAAAATTACTTAGAATATATTCCTCTTAATCAGGTATTTTGCTCTGACTTTTATACCTGATTACAGCTTTGAGGTAAAAAAGAAAGGAACTCAATAATAAAATATATACTTTTAATTATTGATTTTGATTTTAAATACTTTGATAATTACTATAAGTATTGAAGCATAGTAAATGTTATTTTAGATGTTGAAGCTGAATGTTCCTTACTATATATGCCAACACATGTGTATTTTATAAGTATAAATGTAGTTTTATACATTAAGCATATATGTATTTAAAGTCTGTGATACTTTCAGAAACGTAAACTATTGCTTTTCCTTTAATTTTGAAGGCTGAACCCCAACAGAATTCTCAGCTCTGACTATGACATGTTTTATTCAT